AAGCGGGAAGACAACGGAGACCTTGCAACAGCACACTCGCGCGAACACCAACATGTACACGCACATGCACACACACACACACACACACACACACACACACATCGTAGACGCAAGCATAGTAGAGTAGAGTAGAGTGTCGTAGGGTAGAGTAGAGTGTTGTAGAGTAGAGTGAGTAGAGTGTCATAGAGTAGATTACAGTAGGGTAGAGTAGAGTAGATTGTCGTAAAGTGTCGTAGAGTAGAGTAGAGTAGAGTGTCATAGAGTTGAGTAGAGTGTCGTCGAGTAGATTACAGCAGAGTGTCGTAGAGTGTCGTAGAGTAGAGTAGAGAAGAGTAGAGTACAATGTGTTATAGTAGAGTAGAGTAGAGTAGAGTAGAGTAGAGTAGAGTAGAGTAGAGTGAGTAGAGTAGAGTAGAGTAGAGTAGAGTAGAGTAGAGTAGAGTGTAGTAGAGTAGAGTTTCGTAGAGTACAGTAGTGTAGTAGAGTGTCATAGAGTAGAGTAGATTGTCGTATTGTAGGGTGGAGTAGAGTGGAGTGTCGTAGAGTAGAGTAGATTAGAGTAGAGTATAGTAGAGTGTCGTGGAGTAGAGTAGAGTAGAGTAGAGCGTCGTTGAGTGTCATAGAGTGTCGTAGAGTAAAGTACAGTGTTGTAGAGTAAAGTGTCGTAGTATACAGTGTCGTAGTATACAGTGTCATAGAGTAGTGTCGTAGAGTGGAGTGTAGTAGAGTGTCGTAGAGTAGTGTCGTAGTATAGAGTATCATATAGTAGTGTCGTAGAGTAGAGTAGAGTGTAGTAGAGTGTCGTAGAGTAAAGTAGAGTAGAGTATAAGAAAGTGTCATAGAGTAGAGTAAAGTAGAGTAAAGTAGAGTAGAGTAGAGTAGAGTAGAATAAAGTGTCGTAGAGTGTCATAGAGTAGAGTAGAGCGTCATCGAGTAGATTATAGTGGAGTGTCTTAGAGGAGAGTAGAGTGTCGTAGAGTAGAGTGTCATAGAGTAGAGTGTCATAGAGTAGAGTAGAGTAGAGTAGAGTAGAGTAGAGTAGAATATCATAGAGTAGAGTAGAGTAGAGTACAGTGTCGTAGAGTGTCGTAGAGTGTCCTAGAGTGTCGTAGAGTAGAATAGAGTGTCGTAGAGTAGAGTAGAGTAATGTAGAGTGTCGGGGAGTGTCGTAGAGTAGAGTGTCGTTAAGTAGAGTACAATAGAGTAGAGTTTTGTACAATACAGTGTCGTAGAGTAGAGTGTTGTGGAGTGTCGTAGAGTAGAGTGTCGCCGAGTAGAGTAGAGTAGAGTGTCGTAGAGTAGAGTAGAGTGTAGTAGAGTAGAGTAGAGTAGAGTAGAGTAGAGTAGAGTAGAGTAGAGTAGAGTAGAGTAGAGTTGGTAAAGTAGCGTGAAGTAGAGTGTCGCAGAGTAAGAGTGTTGTAGAGTTTCTTATAGTAGAGTAGAGTAAAGTAGAGTAGAGAAGTGTAGAGTAGAGTAGAGTGGGTAGAGTAGAGTAAAGTAGAGTGGAGAAGAGTAGAGTAGAGTATCGTATAGTGCCCTAGAGTAGAGTAGAGTAGTGTAGAGTAGTGTAGAGTATAGTAGAGTAGAATAGAGTAGAGTAGAGTAGAGTACAGTAGAGGAGAGTGTCGTAGAGTAGAGTATGGTAGAGGAGAGTGTCGTAGAGAAGAGTACAAAAGAGTAGAGTTTTGTACAGTACCGTAGTGTCATAGAGTGTCTTAGAGTATAAAAGAATGTCGTAGAGTACAGTGGAGTGTCGTAGAGTGTCGTAGAGTGTCGTAGAGAGTCGTAGAGTAGAGTAGAGTAAAGTAGAGTAGAGTAAAGTAGAGTAGTGTCGTAGAGTAGAGTAGAGTAGAGTAGAGTAGAGTAGAGTAGAGTAGAGTAAAGTTTTGGAGAGTGTCGTAGTGTCGTAGAGTGTCGTAGGGTAGAGTGTCGTAGAGTGTCGTAGAGTAGAGGAGAGGAGAGTAGAGTAGAGTAGTCATAGAGTATTGTAGAGTAGAGTGTCATAGAGTGTAGTAGAGTGGAGTGTCGTATAGTAGAGCGTCGTAAAGTATTGTAGAGCGTCATAGAGTGTCGTAGAGTAGAGTGGAGTGGAGTAGAGTAGAGTAGAGTAGAGTAGAGTAGAGTAGAGTTGTAAAGTAGAGTGTCGTAGAGTGTCGTAGAGTGTCGTAGGGTGTCGTAGAGTAGAGTGTCGTAGAGTAGGGTGTCGTAGAGTAAAGTGTGTGTGTGTGCGTGTGCGTGTGCGTATCACGTGTGTGTGTGTGTGTGTGTGTGTGTGTGTGTGTGTGTGTGTGTTTGTGTGTGTGTGTGTGTGTGTGTGTGTGTGTGTGTGTGTGTGTGTGTGTG